TCGAAGAACACACGAGGCACTAAAAGATTATAAAAGCTTCATTTGAAGCTTATCAAAAAGCCCAAATTTGGGTTATTCACGTTTTTATGGGCTGGAGTTTTTCCTATTAGATCTCTCAATTGCCAAACAGAAAAAGCCTATAATTCGGGCTTCCAAGCTTCTTCCCGAAGCCTGCATGGAAAGACTTGCCAAACACAACATATTTCTTTTCCTAACCAATTTATGGCAGAGATGAGCATGCATGGAGGTATTTGCCCCTCTAACTTAAAAAAATGACCATCATACCTTTTAACATGGTAAATGGGTACAAATTAGTCATTAAATCCTTTTTAACTACTTTCCATCATTAATAACAAAAAACTTTATTTGGTACTTATTTTTTATTTACATGATATGTGTTGCTGTGATTTATGAGAAAAAAATAAAAAAGGATGTGGTTAGATAATGACCCCTGTACTAAGTATAGATCCAATATTTTGATATTTTTTTATACATGTATTTTGATAATATTTTTGACACCCATTTTTTATGTTGTAAATTTAGCTATAGATCATTGTTTTATTTGATATTTTATATATATAAACTTGTTATTTAATTTAAGAGATTAAATCAAGTTTTATATGTGAATAATAACCCACTTTATGGATCCTGCATTATTTGAAGATTTTTGTTTTTTCTTTTTCAATGGAGGTAGCCACCACTTACCTTTTTGAGAGTGGACATTATTACAATTTGAAGCTTATACTTTTTTTTTTAATGGGAAGACACATGTTTGAGGAAGTAAGTTTTTGTTTGAAAGTGGGAGTAACTACTTTGATGTGCTCTTTCTTGAGAAAATAATGTTCCACTTGTCTAAGGGGGAAAATCTCTCTCTCTCTCTCTCTCACATTAGAAACAAAGTTATTTGACTTAACCTAAGAATAGTTTATACAGGTGATAAAATAAGATAAAGTAGAGTAAGATGGTATTGTCATGTGCATAGAAATCTATCGGTAACACCCATGAGAAGTGATTTTCTACAAGCTGAAAGGGGATAGAAGTAGGGGTGTCAATGGTATTCAAAAATCCGATTTCAAATTCGATATTTGACATAATAGAATCGAATTTGGATAATTCAAATATCTAACCGGTTGAATTTGGATATCCTATTCTTACCTAATAGTTAATCAGATTCGAATCGGGTATGACCTGATTCGATTCGATAAATATTTGAATTCGACCAACTATTTAATTCTTATATATAATATATAAAATATTTTATATAATTTATATATAATAATTAAGTTATATAAATAATTTATATATTTATATACTTTATATCAATATAATATTTATTTTATATATTTATTAATTATATAAAATAATTAATCAATTAAATTCAAATCAAATTGAATATTCGAATATTTAATCGGATTCAAATTTGGATATTAATTTTTAATATCTGTCGGATATCAAATTTTCTAATCGGTTTCGAATTTGGACATTGCTTGATTTGATTCAAATTCGATCCGTTTACACCCCTAGCTATAATGGCTAAGGCAAACATAAAAGGACATGGGTGGAAAGTTAAAAACGATTTAAGTGTTTACAATTTAACAAAGGATATAGCATTAAACATAAAGGAATGGCAAAACATGATTCATATAATTGGCCCTATATAGTTGGGTTAAGGCTTAGATAATGATTTTTGTTTTATATGATGAATATATAACACTATAAGGATGATTAGGTTTTTGTGTAAGTTTTTTGTATCTATATATGTAATATATTATGCACCCGTATTAGTATCATATATAATTACTTAAAAGTTATAATTAACAAATTCATTATTTAATATTCATATAAATATATTACATAAGTTAGAAACTAATTAAAAATTATAATTTTATATTTGTTTATTTTAAACACAATAAAGCATACTTGAATTAAACCCAAGCCTGACATATCAAATTTCACATTATATTGGATTTGAACTTTAGGCTCAGCTTGGAAAAAGTACAAGTACAAATATATGTAAAAAATGCAAATATAATTTGGAAATCCAAAATACAAGACTTTGCACCGTACATATTTGAGTTTGTATTATTCATAAGCCTTAATAACTGGATAAACTTTAGATATTAAATTTCAATAATCATATTGGATTTAGATGTGGTTGGAAATTGGTTCATTTGGCGCAAAACAAACATACAAACACTTGTGTATGCGTTTTGTTGTTTGAAATCAATGCTTTTTTTTCTTGAAAAACAGATTCACATCAGCACCATGTATGAAACCTATTTTTTTAGACCAAGCTTGATGTTTGGTTATATGTTTTTTTTTTTTTCCAAATAAGTGTTTTATTAGACCACACATTGGAAATTAAAACAACATGCTGACGTGAAGCATGGCCCAATTTGTCTCTGTAGAACTTTTCAACTACCTTAAAACTCTAATTACTGATCATCCCTCAAGAGGAGGCCACCATCCCGTGTAAGAGAACAAATGGTGGCTTTTGATTGGGTCTACGGGCAGATTGGAACTTATTTTGTATAGTTTGGACGTGAAGCCAAGCTAAATACCGGCATTTACAATTTACAAAGAGTTTTGCAGCTTTCAATTATCTGGGAAAACACATTCGTCGGTTAAATGCTTTTATTTTGGTTAAAATTGTACCTATACTTTGGGGTAGTCTCACTTTACTGCTCTAACTTTCAAATGTCTCACTTTAGTATTTAAACTTCTAAAATATACATGTAAGTCCAATTCCATTAAACTATGAAAGTGCCCATAGCATGTGTTCTATTTGTCTTTTTTCCACTTTTCATCTTCTTCTATCATGAGACTTCATACGCGAACCATGCAAGACATTTTCGTAATTTACAGCCAAAGCACACTTAAATTAAGCCTTTATCAACTCTGGTTTGCATTCATTCAAAGGCGGAGGAAGATGAATCAAAATATAAACATTTTCATAATTTTATCATTCATCATAATAGTAATTTAACAGAACTGGACTTAAATATATATTTTTGAAAGTTTAGGTATTAAAGTGACATATTCAAAATTTGGTTCTATGGGCATTTATTAAAAAACATTGTCACATCAACACCATAAAAGCAATGCTTGGTTTCAATATTTATCGAGAAAGCACTAAAAATTAAAAAACAGAATCACTTTGATTTACGTATACAAGGCATTGGGAAAAACTTCAAATTTTTATTTCACTTGAAATGAAATGCTTATGTGATGTACTTTAAGTTGAGTTAGAAAATAATTTTTTTAGGTCACTCTTTAGTGGGTCTCATAGTTAGGGGTGTCCATGAAAAACCGAAAAACCAAACTGAACTGCAAAATGCGGTTAACCAAATCGATCAGTTTGGTTTTGATTCAAAATTTTTGAAAAGCTAAAGGACTGGTTTGGCTTTCGATTAACTTACAAAAAAACCGGCGGTTAACCGAATTGATCGATATATATAGTTACATGTATATTTTTATATATTTTTAATATGTCACATATTTTTGATATATTATATATAAATATATATTCATTATATATCTAAATATGTACTTATATGATATTTATAATGATTTATTTATAAATATATTATATATTTTTATAATATTTGTAATATATTATATATCTTTTATTATTCTCAATATAATATTATACATATATTTATATAATATATATTATAAATATAAAAAATAAAAAACATGAAGAATCGAACCGATCAAAAACCGAAATGGCAGACCGATTAACCGATGGTACTGATTCGGTTTCAGTTTGGAGAAATGGAAAATTCGGTACCACCGGTTCAGTTAATACATATATTTATATAATATATATTATAAATATAAAAAATCAAAAACCTGAAGAATCGAACCGATCAAAAATCGAAACTGGCAGACCGATTAACCGATGGTACCGATTCGGTTTAAGTTTGGAGAAATAGAAAAACCGGTACCACCGGTTCGGTTAAAAAAAAGGTCATGGACACCCCTACTCATTGTAAGCCTCCGTTAACAAAAATGAAAGTTTTGACATGTATGTGGGTCCCACATATGTTAACAAACCTCTAAATCTCTTTTTTCACTCAATTGCATTACTTCAGAGCGGATGAGAACCCCCTATTTGCTACCCAGCTACTATGTTAAAAAAAAGCAAAAAATGTCAAAATTTCAAAAGGCACATGCCCGGGCTAAGGCGCAAGACGCACAGGCACGTGCCTTTTAAAAGGGCTACGCCTAGGACCTAGGTGAGATGCATACCATAAAATGTGCCTTACCTATGTGCGACGTGCCTTTTAAATCATTGTTCTTGGTTCATATCTTTTATTTGTTAAGTTCTTATTTAGATTTTCTACCATTGATAGAATATATTACAACACCTTCAAAAGCCCTTTTAGACCCATTAACATCCCCTTTCTTCCAAACCTTAGTGTTTCTTTTTTTCTTTTTATTTTTATATCCATGCCTCCAAGTATGCCTTAGTAAGACCTTTTCCCCTTCCTATCCTACATCACTGGCTTGAGAGCAATGTAAGGCATTAGTGTTGGCTCATGCTTAAACTACAAATATGGCTCTAGATTAGCAATGATATTTCTCGTGGTTTACGCTTGTATATCTCTTTGGAATAATAGATTTGCAGGGATATTCTTGTTTTTTGGTAATGAGATATACAGAAGTACAGGCAAAACAGGAAAGCTTATGGACTAAAAATAAATAAATTCAGAGGAAATTTCTCCTTTGTGTACATCTTCTCATACTCTGCTTTTTTTAAGGAAATCTCTGATACCCTTTCTCAAAATAAATAAATAAATAAATTCAAAGGAAAATATAGAAACGATTCATAGGGAAGGGAACAACCTCCACTTAAAAGACATGTATGTATGTGGGCCCCTATCAATAAACGCCCACGCCCACGCCCACAGAACTGGTTGTGAGTACGGTGCGAGCACAGTTGTATGATGACTGGAATCCGATATCTCTTTGTTCGTTCTAAGTAGATGTGAACGTGTAACGAAATGTGTCAGCAAGTCGAGAGAAGCTTTTTGTTGGGAAGGCCGAAGGCTTTCTTTGTTCTTTGTTGGGAGGCTGGGACCTTTTCCTTGTTCAACACTTCAGCTGGGCTCCGGCCTCCGAGTACATGCTCTCGTGTCTTTCCTTCAGACGTTAAGAATTTATCGATTTTGAAATCTCTACAACTGTTTTCACTGATAACCGCATCCTTCGTAGGTTCGTAGAAGATTATTCTTCGTTTCTTAATTTCATCATAAGGTGGTTAGGGTTTGAGATCACGGCATACTTCTTTCTGCTGATGAAATACTCGTCGTCTGAGAGATACAGTGAAATGGCCACGGCTACGCTTCTCCTGCTGTGCGCTTCTCTGCTAATACCTTCAATGGCCGATGAGTTATTCGACGTTCGTCGACATTTGTCAACGGTTTCAAGGTATGTCGTTCCATCTCCATTACGGACACCCGTTAGAAATTTGAGGACGTCCTTCCTTTTCTTTTGATGTATTTCTCTTGTTGTTTTTCTAATTTATTGGGCACTTAGAACCATTTATTTCATTTTTTTTTTCTGATTCTTATCTTAGTAACTTTTCAAATTTATCGTACATATTCATGTAACCGACCCCATGTAGTTGGGATAAAGCTCAGATGATGATGATGATATGTTTATTTTACAACAAGAAGGCTACACTGTTTTTTTTCATGTCATTTAACGTTGAATTTAATCCTAATTGAGGAATTATCCGAAGATTTTAATCGGATCCACGAGAGCCTTAGCCACTTAATATCTGCACGGATGTTTTTGCTAAATTTATGAAATAATATTACTGTTTGCACATAATTAGTTAAAGAAAGTTTTTCCCCCAATGTCAATGGAACTTGCTTGGATGGATATGCCCCAAAATAATGGAAAAATTGTCATCTGAGACTTCTGATTAAGGTAATCGGCGTAATGTTCTTAAAATACCAGGTTGCCGCTAGATGGGTTTCATTCTGATAGTTAGCTCACGAAATGCTTAATGCCTTAATGGTTGATTTGACTGTGGGTCGTTAAAACATATCTATGTTAGAAGATATCTAAAGATGCATAATGTAACTCATAAAATGGTGGGAGGGGGTCTGAGGGGAGAAGACAGCTTGTGACTCATCCATTTTGAGTAAAAAAATAGAATATATAATAAGCGAAAGCTTTTTTCTCCCAGGTGCCCTTGAACGGTTAAATCATTCATTCCAATTGTCCTTTTTATTATTTTGGAAGTGAAATAATGGGGTGCAAAAAAGGGAAAGACTGCAAGTCCTCCTCTGCAATTATCTTTCAACTGCAAAGCTTGATAAACAAAAATTTTAGGACAGCCACTTTTTTTCTTCTTTTTTTTGGTAGAAAGGATATAGCCACTTTATGAGGCACAAGTACATTTACTTTCATTTTTGATAATATTATTTTATTCAAAAATAAAAGCATCACAACCAGATTTCTTTCTTTCTTTAAATCTCATTTGCAACTTTTATTTGCTTCTTATTCCTTTTCTTTTGCACAGATATGGTGCTGTAAAAGATATTGCTGACAATGGATTTGTAGCTTCAAGTATTCCAGATGGATGTAGTGCAATCCACCTAAACCTTGTGGTAATTTAAGTTTATGAGTTCTGCAACTTAATGCTGTGTAAGTCTGTGCAAACATAACAGTGATACCGATATCTATATTGTATTTCCCTTGGAATTATTTGCATACATTCCAATTATAAAAAAAATATTTGCATACATTCCTTGAATTCTTAATTATCTTGATGTGTGATTAAAATGTTTTAGTTAGTGTTATGATTTTTAGAATATGAAAATGTAGTTATATGTTATATTTTCCATAAAGTTATAATGGGTCTATAAAATGTCGTGCCATGAAATAGACATTGATGATACTTTGAAAGATTCCCTACACATGCCACTCTTAGGAAATCCTCTGGGCATATTGAAGTCATTTAGGACCTCCATGTTACTTTTTTATGCAAGAACAGGGTAATCACATGAAGGAATTGACTTTTTTTTTTGCTCAAATGACAAACAGAGAAAACTTAGAAATTAGAATTCTTTAATTTATATTGACAGGCAAGGCATGGAACTCGTTCTCCTACCAAGAAACGCATGAGAGAGCTAGAAAGCCTGGCCAATCATATGGAAGTTTTGCTAAGAGATGCAAGAAATGGAAAACAAGAATCACTGCAGCAAATCCCTGCTTGGTTATGGGGATGGCAATCACCTTGGAAAGGAAAGCAGAAAGGTGGGGAATTGATAAGCAAAGGAGAGGATGAACTCTACCATCTTGGAATTAGGACCAGAGAAAGATTTCCAGATTTGTTTAATGAGGAATATCATCCAGATATATATGTGATAAAGGCAACTCAGGTTAGTTATTTCTCTTATTTTGTTTATTTTGTTGTTCTTTGCAGGGCCTTCCTTTTAACCAAATTTGCCATTATTCCTGCTACACTGACACCTGCACATATTGATGGCTTTGTTCTAGGCCTTCTGGCCGAGACATTGCATGAATTGCAACTATGCATGCTACTCGTTAAAGTGGTACTGATGTATGAATTCCATATCTGAAATGAGACTATGGTGCTAAACTCTGCTGTTTCTTATCCTATCTTGATTGCCAGAATTCACCATTTAGATATCAAAACTATTTACTTTGTACTCCACAGTGATTTAAGGTCATAACACATGGGGCCACTTCAAAATTCAAACTTGGTAAATATAATTTTTTTTAGAAGCTGGTTAATGCAGGCCTGATATCAGAAAAAGAAGAGAAAAGGAATTATCTGCAGTTTAGAGCTGTTTTTGAGTAATTACATATTTTGAATGTGGAAACAAGGCAACCCAGGCAATTCAAGTATTGAAAGAGTCTTTGGAGACAGTCAAGACGCTGTTATAATTCTCTTTCCAGGTCCTGTTGGTATTGGAGATTCCACAAGAGTGGAAACGCTTGCTTTGCTGCAAGGACTCAGGTTGGGCAAAAGAATGAACATGGGGAACATAGTGGTTGGAGCAGACTTAAAGGTGGTGTTAGACTGGTTGAAAAATGACAAGCAAGCAATATGGCAACATCGGGATGCAGTGAGAGAGATTAAATCCTTAGCAAGGGAGATCGTCAATTCTATTATATGGGTACACTGCTTGGAAAAAAAGTATATCTGATTCACTAGAAAAGGGGTTACTGGGGAACAATTATTGTGGGATCTTTGTACCCAAAAGTAAAGTGGGTTAGATAGCATTTTTCTAGTCTAACTAAAGATCACTTTTTTATAGTAAAAGGAAGAAAAATTATTAACAAGAAGAAAAATACAAACTAATTAGGTGTCAAGAAAAATACAAACTAATTTCATGGGCAAACTCCAGCAGACATATCCCTTGGACTTTGGGACATGTGATGACGGAAGTGTTGCAGATTGCAAAAGACATAGGGGCTGAGTTTAAGTGGGTAAGTGGGCTATTTGTTGGGTAAATGGCTGTGGAGGTGGCCTCTAGAAAGTGACAGACTTTGGCACAAAGTTATTGAATGTATTCATGGTGGTGCAGACAATGGTTGGGATGCTGGTGTATCTCGGTGGGCCACGCTGATTTCTCCTTGGAAGGCCTCCATAGTATTTTCCCCTTGTTCTTGAACCTGGTCAGGTATGATGTTTGTAATGGAGATAAAGTTTTGTTTTGGAAGGATATTTGGACTGGTAACTCTACCCTCAAGAACCTGTTTCCCTCCTTGTTTTCCCTTTTTTGCCTAAAAAATTCAACCTATTAAGTGTTTTGTTTCCTTTTCCTTCTCTTCTGGTCTCAGCTGTAATTTGGGTTTTAGGAGGGATTTGAGAGACTTTGAGCTTGATTAGGTTGCTTTACTCCTCAAAACTTTGGATCTAGTTTGTCTGGATCCTTCCAAACCTAATGATCGCATTTGGGTTCCTAGCTCTTTGGGCTCCTTTAATTGTGCTTCCTTCTTTTCTTCCTTTTTTTGATGAATAACAGATATTTTATTAATGATTAAAACCAAAAGTTACACCAAGGGTAGCCTTGGTTACCCCTGAAAAAAGAAGATTAAAAAACACCCAACATTACTTTGGTAATTACATCTGAGCCCAGAAACAGATCTCCTTGTGCACCCCCTGTTTTGCTAACTGATCTGCCATGTTGTTAGCCGATCTTGGAATCCATTGAAAGGCCACTTGCATACCATCTGTAAATCTTTTAATCTTTTTTTTTTGGAAAAGGTAAGGTAAATTTATTAATAGAAATCAGAACCATACAAAGGCCTCCCAGAAGGGAGCAAAGACTGAGAACAGCCTCTCAGTAAATCTTTTAATCTTCTTGAACTCTTTTCTAAAAACCACGGAGCTTGTTCTTTTCATCTTAGCCAACTAATAACTACTTTAGAGTCCCCTTCAACTATCATTTTTCTCACCCCCATCTCCATTGCCTTTTGTAGTCCAAACACTGCTTCTGTCAGTTCAGCTGTAATCAAATCCCCCCTGTCCATATGGACCTGAATACATTCCAACCACTTCCCTCCTATACCAGAAGGGCCTAGGTTACCAAGGCTGCTTCCATCAAAGTTCATTTTAATAACCCCATTTTCCGGAGGAGTCCAATCCCTTATAGTTTTCTTCTTGGAATAAGGTAGTGCTGCAATTGTTCTCCATCTCCTTATCAGATCATCATATGTAAAATCAGAGAAGAGTTTCAAGGATTTAACCCAGAAAACCACTTTGGCTAAAAGTTGCTTCTAATTTCTTTCTCTAATAAATTCTTCATTTATCAAAAAAAAAAAAGAAAACCACTTTGGCTGTAATTCCATCTATCAATGCCTCTTTGCTCCTTTTTCTTCCTTCAAATATCCTCAGATTTCTTTTCTCCCACAAAGACCAAAGCACAACTGCCCTTGTGCATCTCCACAATATTCTGCCCCTCTTTCTTGGCCATCTGAATGTAGAAGCATCAAATAATCTGTCCAAACTCTTAGGGGTATTCCACCTGCAACCAAAGAGAGAGAAAAACCACTCCCAAACATAGTTAGTGTAAATAGGTAGCTTGATCCTATTCAGTACTCTAGCCGACCCACTTTGTATTTATAATGAATAAGTTGAGTTACAAAAGACAGTATTCTCCCTTACAAGTGATGGGACACAAAACTTAAACTTGAATAAAACAGACCTTTCACTTCTAACTAGATAAACCAAAAGACCAAAATTCCCCTGTACTGTCGACTCTAACAGTTAGCATAAGGACAAGAATTCAACAAGTGATAGGCAGTCTCACCATTTGACTCACACAGATAGCACCAGTTCGGGGAAAGACACCAACCGGGTCTCTTTCTCTGTAACACATCAACATGTTAAATGGACTATGAAAAACTTCCCAACTGAATGCACTCACTTTAGGAGTAATAGGGCGGCACCACACTTCTTTAACTGGAAATGAAGAGCCAGCAAAATCAGAGGACTACCAAAGCTTTAAAGAAGGAAGCACAACTGAAAACACCTGAAGGGTGAGAGGACTAGACTCTACAATCTTGTTTACTCACATCTAAAAAGACCCCATGTAGCATTTACATAAGGTTTGACATCAAATCCAACCGAGAATTCCTAACATTTCTGTGAAAGCCCAAGTTCCACCTATACCCAGATAGAGAAGGGGAGGGGATTAAAAAATCTGAAACTGGTTTACCCTTGGAAGAAGAGAGAGCATACAAAGAAGGAAAGGAGACCCTCGGAGGTACTTCCCCTACCCACAAATCTTCCCAAAACCTGATTTTGTTCCTTGAGTTTAGATCATACCTGATATGAGTGAGGAAACTTGGAAGGCTCTTTTGGATTAATTTCCATGGTGATGCACTTGAAGCTCTGCTAGAAGTTCTAGCCAAGGATTAAAGTATCGGTATCGGGTATCGTATTGGACAACTCGGATACGAATACATATATGGATACGCTTTGGAAACGTATGGATACGGACGAAAAAGATGGAAACGCATGGATACGCTAGGGAAATACATATGAATTTCATAAATATATTAATCACACTAAATTTAAGATCAAAATGATCACAAAATAGTATATAAATACATAAAAATGTAAA